ATACTTTGGCTTCTTTGATGTATTTATTCATATTTTTTTATTTATTTACTATTAATGGTTCTTTATAGCCTTGAACAAATATAGGCACCTCTTTTGACTATTTAGTCATCCATAGTTTGGTTAATTTGGTGCTGATAAAGATGATTAAAGGTTTTTATTATGATTTCTTTTTTTATCACTTTTAATTGCAAGCAAATTTATTGACTTCGTTAGATTGGATTTTAAATATTTAAATGCACTCTTTCTACTCCAATTTGCACTAATTTATTAAAATGTTTTATAATTAAATCATTTTTATACATAGTAGGATTGTTAGAATTAACAGGTTGAGTCATGGATTCCGTATGAGAACTAGCATAGTTCTTTTTCAATTCTAATAAAAGAATTTAAACTCATTTTTTATCTTTTGTTTATTATTAATATTTTATTTATAGTTATATTAAAAATTATACACTAATGTAGTTATAAAATGGGTATAATAAACACATAATATATTTAGAAAGTATTTACAAGTCAAGAGTAGTTCAATTAGCTAAAAGCGCCAATGCCCCTTGCATTACGCACATTGCATCAGAAAAGAACTTTAAAAACATTGGATCAAGGGTTCAAATTCCTTGCAATGCAACTTACGGTTACATACATCAATCTCTCTCCAAACAAAGCATCCACAAGATCTGCATGCATTCAGTATGTCTTCATACATATGTACTTTAAGCAAGCAAACGTGTACATCTAAAACCTCAAAATATATAATATGCAAAAACATAAAAAAAAGAAATAACTAGCACAACTCTTAATCCAACGTCATTACTCTCCTTTCCAACAAAATAAAAGAACATAAAACAAAATAAAAACAAAATCAAACCTGTATCCAACTGTGGGTTGGCAACCTGAATCATTTTTCTCCATTCAAACCTATTAAGAGCTAACTTCTCATTTAAATCTAATATTAAAAGATTATTTCTAACACTTTCTTACCAAGCTTTTTTAGGTCTACATCTAACTTTCTTAACATAGGCCAGATCTAATGCATCTACTCTCTAACAGGGTCATCAGAAGGCCGACACTTTATGTAATCAAACGATTTAAGATGACTCTCTCTAATCTAATCTACGACTAGAACTACTCCAACCATTTCATATATACACTCATTATGTATTCTCTCTCTAATTGTAAGCCAATAATCCACCTGAGCATCATCATCTTTGCAACACTTAATTTTATACTTCTCTTTTAATGGCCAATATTTTGCACCATAACGTACTGCAGGTCTCACCACCATCTTATAAAATTTTTCATTAAGTTTGAGGTATTTTTCTATCACACAACATGCCTAATGCATTCATCCACTTCAACCATCAACTCGAATTCTACAAATAATATCCCCATCTATTTCACCACCACATTGAACAATAGATCGGAGATATCTAAAATGTACACTTTTTTTAATGACTTGATCACCCAAAATCACAATCCAACCATTATATCTATTAATACTAAAATTTCACTCCATGTATCACTTTTAGATCTACTCAAACGAAAATCTTTAGACTCTAAGATTTACCTTCACAATTCAAATTTTCCTTCTACTCCCTCTCTGGTCTTATCAACAAGAAGAATATCAGCAGCAAAAAGCATAAACTAGGGTACAAATGTCTAGTAAGAACATAAAATTGAATAAAAACCTAGAATCAAACATGCAACTCTTTGATCTCCAATGAGTTTCTACCAAAGGAAAAAAAACACTGCAGTGCCAAACTTTTGAGATAAACACACTAAAATTCCTTTTTTTTTTTTATTCTTCTGCTCATTTCGTTTTTTCCCCAAGAATCTGACTTCTTTTTTACTCACCGCTCGAATCAGAATCACAGTCAATCTCAACCAATTTTACATGAATTACCAAGTCAACACAATGTGGCTACAGAATAGATTCAATGAAACAGGGTTTAGTCTTACAAAATAAAGGAAATACCTGACCAAATTCCAGCAACCTTCATCTCTAACTTTAATTTTTAACATGGTTCTTTCTCAATTCTAATTAAAGAATTTCAAACTCATTTTTTATCTTTTGCTTATTATTAATATTTTATTTATAATTATATCTAAAATTATACACTAATGTAGTTATAAAATGGGTATAATAAACACATAATATATGTAGAAAGTATTTACAAGTCATGAGTAGTTCAACTAGCTAAAAGCTCAAATGCCTCTTGCATTACGCACATTGCATCAGAAAAGAACTTTAAAAACATTGGATCAAGGGTTCAAATTCCTTGCAATGTAAGGTACGGTTACATACATCTAGCTCTCTCCAAACAAAGCATCCATCGACAAGATCTGCATGCATTCAGTATGCCCTCATACATATGTACTTTAAGCAAGCAAACGTGTACATTTAAAATCTCAAATCATATGACATGCAAAAAAGAAATAACTAGCATAACTCTTACTCTCCTTTCCAACAAAAATAAAAGAACATAAAACTGAATAAAAACAAAATCAAACCCTTATCCAACTATGTGGTGTTGACTTCATGAATCCTTTTTCTCCATTCAATCCTATTAAGAGTTATATTCTCATTTAAATCTAATATTAAAAGATTATTTCTACCACTTTCTAACCAAGTCTTTTTAGGTTTACCTCTTAACCTTTTAAACATGGGCCAGATCTAATAAATGTACTATCAAAAGGACGATACTTTATGTAACCTAACGATCTAAGATGACTATCTCTAATCTTATCTACCACTAGAACTACTCCAACCATTTTATGTATATACTCATTTCATATTCTATCTCTAAGTGTAAGCCAATCATTCACCTGAGCATCATCATCGTGGCAACACTTAATTTAATTTTATGCTTCTCTTTTAATGGCCAATATTTTGCATCATAAAGTATTGCAGATCTCACCAGCATCTTACAAAATTCTTCATTAAGTTTGAGGTGTTTTTCTATCACACAACATGCCTGTTGCATTCCTCCACTTCAACCATTCAACTTGAATTCTACAAATAATATCCTCTTCTATTTCACCACCACATTGAACAATAGACCGGAGATATCTAAAATATACACTTTTTTTAATGACTTGATCACCCAAAATCACAATCCGACCATTAGATCTATTAATACTAAAATTTCAATCCATGTATTCACTTTTAGATCTACTCAAATGAAAATCTTTAGACTCTAAGATTTAACTCCACAATTCAAGTTTTCCTTCTACTCCCTCTTTAGTCTTATCAACAAGAAGAATATCAGCACCCAAAAACATACACTAGGGTACATCTTCTTGCAAATGTCTAGTAAGAACATTAAATTGAATAAAAACCTAGAATCAAACATGCAACTCTTTGATCTCCAGTGAGTTTCTACCAAAGGAAAAAAAATACTGCAGCGCCAAACTTTTGAGATAAACACTAAAATTTCTTTTTTCTTTAATTCTTCCCCTCATTTCATTTTTTCCCCGAGAATCTGACTTCTTTTTTACTCGCCGCTCAAATCAGTATCTCAGTCAATCTCAAACCAATTTTACATGAATTACCAAGTCAACACAATGTGGCTTGAGAATAGATTCGAAGACGAAGGGCCATTTAGTCTTACAAAATAAGTGAAATAAATACTTGACCAAATTCCTGCAACATTCATCTCTAATTTCATTTTTTACAACGCATCAAAAGAGATACATGTAGAATCACTGTATCAAAAACCAAACTTGATGAATTAACGACTGCAGAAAACCACGGCATCAGTTTTACTAGTTTCATGCTTCCGCCTTAGAAAAAGTTAACCCAGTTCCGCTTCACACGCCATTTCTTGGTAAATGGGCATATAATGCTCAGTCCAATTCAAGCATGTAAATCGAAACTTTTTTAATTAAATGGTTGCTGCATGAATATAGAAACATCGTCATTGATTAAAAGTACTAAACATATAAAATCCAAAAATACACTATGGGGAAACAAGGAAAAGGAGAAAATCTTAGGCCTCGTGTGATATCTCTTTTCCACTTGTATTGCCGTATGCGATCCATGTCCCATACATCACCACATGCAGACTTTCCCGCCGACAGACCTGCTTGCATACCCAAGAAAATGCCCAAAATGCACTTGCAAAGAATAAGCCACCAAGTTTCCCGTGTCATGCCCAAACAAGTATAGAACCTAGAAGAATTGAAAAGCAATGTGCAGCAAAGCAGACCCCACCACGTAGGCAAAAAAAAAACCCTAAGGAAACAAAGGGGCAAAGAGGGGGCAATCTTGTACTTCAATAATTTAGGTAAGAATGATGAACTGATCAATTGAAGTTCTAAATATGAAAGCAGAAGAAACATTTCCAAGTTTTAGAAATGTGGAGTAGGCTTCACAGGTAGGCTTACTATTGGCAATTCTTCAGTAAGTGGTAATTGTTGTCCGACAGTTCTGCCTTCTCTTTCTTCTTTTCTTTATATCAGACGTACATGCCACCAACAAGAAAACCATTGCACCTACTTAAAGTTTTTTTTATAACTAAGCTATAAATGCAAAACTGACATGCTTCTCTACAACAGCAAATACAACCTTTAGCGGACAATATGCAAATGTAAAAATAAATAAATAAATAATTGCAGCCAAGATTGCTTAAAATAACTGAAAATAAGGCCGTGAAAATTGAAATTAAACCAAAAATTTTGAAGCTCCTTTTTTAGTTAATCCATATGAAGCCACTTGGAATAAGATACAACAACAACATCATCAAGCCTTTATCCCACTATGTGGGGTCGGCAACATGAATCCTTTTTCTCCATTGTATCCTATTAAAGGTCAAATTCTCGTTTAAATCTAATAAAAAAATGTCATTCCAAATATTTTCTAACCAAGTCTTTTTAGGTCTGCCTCTACCTGGAATAAGATAGCACTTCAAAAAAACAAAACAACAATTTCACCAAACAAAAAATTAAATTAAGGTCACATGTAATGTATAGTAAACTATAAATTGTTAATCCATGAAATGAACCTGTTTCGTCTTCAGCGTGCTGCTCAGAAGGAAGTGCAAGTCATTCAACTGAGCTGAGAGATTGTCCTTGAATGAAGAAACCATGACCTCAAGAATATTAGATACACCATTTAATTGTGATGCTAACTTTTGAAATGAACACAAGTTTGACTTCATTCCTTTCAAATCAAGCCTATCTAGTCAACGTTAAGGCATGCACTTCGAATATCATATAATGGGTGGGGTCGGAGAGAGGAATCCTACAGAATTTACTGTTCAAATTTTGAGATAACTCTTAGAGGATACATGTTATCTGAAGATCATGAATTATGCCCTTGAATCTTTGCTTGCACCAGTCCTTCACAACCACTTCATCCAATAAGAAAGAAATAACAGGGTCACTAGATACAGCATTCTCATCCATACAGACATCTGTAACATCTGTTGTAATTGTTAAGGTAAAAAGTTATAATAGAAAGATCATTCAAAGAATATTAGTCAAGCAGACAGGACAAATATGCATCCGAAGTCTGAAGTATCATCTTCAGTAAGTATAGATATTCAAGGATACAATGGCAAATCAAAGATGCAAGGTTGTTATCTAGTGCAACATCAAAGAGGGAATACAAGCGTTGAATAGCCAGAAAATGATCTTTGCTATCATCCTTCTCCTGAAATCTGTCTGCATGTTTCTTAGAAATAAGGCCAGCACTAGCACATTCATAATAAAGACGAGGTCTTAATCTATTTCCATTGACTGGGAGAGAAGTTCTGCAAATTGGACACATGTCACATCTCTTGCTACATTCAGCACACAAAGAGGCATGTCCACATGAGTTCAGTACATCTTGAACGTAGCGGCCACAGCTACTCAGATCCCTAGTGGCCCTGCAACGCTCTACTTTAGCCTCATTGCATAATTCCAGTAGATCAATTGATGCCAGGTGCTCCAAAGCATCCTGAATAAAATACCGAACTATGACTATTACAAATATTGCAATGATAAAGGATTAAAGAAAAGCCAACCCACAATGGATTCCAAGTATACAAAAATCAAAGTACATTTACAAGGAAAATATACTAGGAAATAAGTATTGAGAAACCATTGTATTAGACATTATAAGAATTATCATTCGAAATACAATATGAAATAAGATCTCTAAATGAGCTATGCTAAATCTAACATCCAAGTAAGCTATATAGATGAGAATTTTAAATGATTTAACTGGTCATTGATTGAAAAATACATGTATCAGCACGAATTTGGGGATATAAGTCAACATTGGCTAATTATGTTTCTTCCAACCAGGGAAGTGAATCTTCTGACTGAAAGAAACCTGAGCAATATGCATAATGTTCATTCCCACTTTATTGAACAAAAAGATATGAATAACACATGCATTCCATAACATTGTATATGTAGGTTAACAGGCTGAATTAAAAAGTAGCATTGCGATAAACCAGGTCATCGCCTGCTTCGGCATAGACTGCTTCGACATCGCTTGTTCGGCCTCGCCAGCTTTGACATCGCCTTGTTCGGCTTTTGCCGCGCCTGCTTCATGTTGGAAGAGTTCATAGGACGATTTCTTCGTAGCGATGTAACGATCCATCTTTCCTTTCATGCATGTGTAGGGTTCAACTGCGTTGTGAGAAGCAGAATTTTGATAGAGTTTAATATTATTCTCTGGTGCTTCAATTTTTTTGTATTTTTTTCTTTGGTTTTTTATCGGCTTTGCCCCAATGATATCACAATTCATCAGGACATGCTTTAACTTGAAAAAAAATAATTGGAATGGTTCTCGATCCTTTTTGGATCCCTTTGGGATAAAAAGGCATTCAACGTCCTTTTTGGATAAAGGAAAAAATTATAGATGATGAAGAATTGGAGGATGATATTGGCATAAATTATAAGGATTCTTCTGAAAACAATCAAACTAATGATGAGACTGTCGTAGGTCTTGATCATAAGGGCGTGTTTTATTTTTAAGTGAGTATTTATTTTGAATCTTGTGTTATAGAAATATTATCTTCAAACAAATCATCACGTTCATAATTTACTTAATATATTTTTCATTTTGAATTATTTATAATTTTTAAAGTACTTTATTTTTTCCATTTTGAGGCATACCCCTCGATCCGTCTTGAGGCATACACCTCACCTCGCTTAGACAAAACACCTCGATTCCTAATTTCACCTTTAAAACCTTGCTATTAACAGGACAATGGAGAAAAAAGATTCATATAGCCAACCCCACATAGTGGGATCAAAACTTGTAGTTGTTGTTGTATTTCTTAGCCTCAACCATTGGATGAAGAGCTGATGTTCTTAAGTAGACTTAAAGGCAAAGCTAGAGTTTTATCTTCGCGACTGACCAATTTGCCATTCTTCTATTGTCAACCCCTCTTAGATTCTTTGTCTTTGCCTCTAGTCTCACTTCCTATATCGCTTCCAATCGACCCTCAAAGAGGCGAAGAGAAACAAGAGACAATTTTCAAGCAAAGTTCCTTCTCCATTCCACACACCTTTGTGGTTTGTTCCCCCTTTCCATTCTCCATTATGGCTTCCATTAAGTCTCTTCTAGCAATTGTGCTTAAAACTTTGCAATCTCCACCATAACATATTTATTTAAGCATCGATGATTTCTCCCAAAGAAGAAATATCAAGAGATTATAGGTGACATTCTCTCATTGAATTAAATCGAATAAGGAAACTTCAATTCATTCACTCAACTAGCACGCTAAAGTTTTCCAACATGTGAGACTTTTTGATGAGGACATCGTCAGCATTTTTTGACACGTGTACCATCAGGAGACGCCGGAGATCGACGGCTACGATCATGAGTTTTATTTTGAGTCATTTCATGTAGTAGTTTATGTTATTTTCAGTTTTTTTCCGCTTTTGCCCTTATGGGTATTTGGTCGCTATTGTAGCGCAAGGGGCATTTTAGTCTTTTATTTTCTTTGTCATTTGGAGGCCTATATATGGCCCTTTTCTTAAGTAATAGGGAGTTTTGATGAATAAAAAATATTTGCTTTGTGTTCTCTTTGTGAGTGCAAACCTCCACGATCTCTTAGTGAGTTCGTAGGAGAAGCTATATCTCTTTGTGAGTTCTAGATTTTTCTCGTTCTACGATTTTCCTTTATTTCTCATGGTCAAATCATCATCGTGGAGATTCGGATTGAAGCACTTATGGAAAATTGGAATTCACCCCTTGGATCCTTATATTTTCCATACTTCTTCCTCTCCTTGGATCCTTGCCGCCGCCCCTTTCCCCTAGCCAAACCGCCGGCCAGCCTCCCGCCGACCAACCCAGCACCCCATCCCGCCGGCCTGCAGGAGCCCTCCCACCGGCCAATCCTCCATCCGGCCACCCGTCGGCCACCACCAGCCCTTCCTCTGCCGGCCACCCTGGATCCATACCGCCGGCCCCCATTTGGTTTCCCTTTGCTAGTTTGAATTTCATCCTTTAATGACTTTCCTAATTAATTCACTTAAATTGGGGAATTAATTAAGGGAGTTACAAATTTTTGAAATTCAAATTCCCTCCCAATTTTCTTTCAAGAAAGGAGTTACATGACTTAATTAAAATCTGAAATCTAAATTTCAGATTTTGATTAATTAATTGTGGTCCCCACCTATTTAATTCCAAGCCTCTCTC